ATAGAAGACAGGTAAAGAAGAAATAATATTTGTATTATTGTAGTCACTGAGAAGAAAAACCAATAATAAAACTGACCTACTATAATTCAAGAAAACTTTCCAGAAATGGAAAAAGACCTGACTCTACCTACACACTGAAGAACTCACTGGATACTTGGGAAAATTAACCTAAAACAATCAACTCTGAAATATAGCTTAGTAAAAACTATTTGACATCAAAGATAATGATAAAATCCTCCAGAACTCTAGGTAGAAAGGATAAATAACTTACAAATCCAAAAGAATTAGACTAGCATCAGATATTTCAAAACCAACATACAAAGCAAGACAACGATGGATCATTTAATATTTAAAAAATAAAATCAATGAAAGTAGGTGTGAACCAAGAATATTATATCAGCTAAGTTATCCCTTAAATACCAAGGCTACAGAAAATAAGTTTTCAACACACAAGAACATAGGGAATTTCTGCACTTATTAGCCCTTCCCAAAGAATCTACTAGAGGATGAACTTCATCCAACCATATGACGACAAAGAAAACATCAGCAAAGTTGAGAGTGAGCATTTTAAAATATGTAAATGAACATATGACATTAAAAAGAAAGATGAAGATGAAGGTGGAAGACAATGTAAAATCATGGCATATTGTGACAGAGTAGAAACGCTGCAACTAAAAAAAGGCAGAGTCTATGGCCATGCCACCTGAACAAGCCCGATCCTGTATGACCTCGGAAGCTAAGCAGGGTTGGGCCTGGTTAGTACTTGGATGGGAGACTACCTAGGAAGATCAGGTGCTGTAGGCATAAAAAATAAAAAATAAAAAATAAGGGATTGTAAACTGACAAGGTCCTTGCCATCTGTGAGGTCAACCAAGGGTTACCTCGCCTAAAAAAAAAAAATGGTACAAGAGAAAAGAAGAGAATAATTAAAGGCTCAATGTTATGTAGGTACTTGCTGGGTTTAAGGCATACTGAGGGGGGAAACCTGATAAGTCAGATATTAAAAGGTTAAACAAGTCCACACAGTGCTGGGACAACTGTATATCCTTAAGCGAAAGAATAAAGTTCAGCCCTACCTCATACCATACAAAAATTAACTCAAAACGGATTAAAGACTTGTATGTGAGAGCTAAAACTATGAAACTTAGAAGAAAACATAAGGATAAATAATCCGAGACTTTGGATCAGGAAGTGGTTTCTTAGATCTGACATCAAAAACACAACAAAAATAGGTAAACTGGGCATTATCATAATTAAAAATGTTTACAGTATAAAAGATGCTATTAAGTAAAAAGACAACCCATAGGATGGAGAAAATCTTGTGCAAATCATATCTAATAAGAGGTTATATCTAGAACATATAAAAAACTTACAATTCAATAATAAAAGACGATCCAATTAAAAATGGGCAAAGGAGCTGAAGAGACATTTCTCCAAAGATGATGTACAAATGCCCAACAAGCACAAGAAAAGATGCACATCACTAATCATTAGAGAAGTGTAAATCAAATCAATGAGATACCACTTCACACCAATTAGGAGAGCCATATTCAAAGATAATAACAAGTACTAAAAAGATGTAGAAATAATGGAACCCTCATATTGCAGGCAGGAATGTAAAATAATGCAGCCTCTTTGAAAAACAGTTTGGCAATTCCTAAAAAAAATTAAACATAGAGTTATCATATGACCCAGTAATTCTACTCCCAGGTATATATACCTGACAGAAATAAAAATATATGTCCACACAAAATTTGTACATAAATATTCATATCAGTATTATTCATAATAGCTAAAAAAGTAGAAACGACTCAAATGTCCATTGAGAGATAAATGAATTTTAAAGATGTGGTATACTCACACAACGGAATATTATTTGGCCATAAAAATGAAGAAGTACTAGCACATGGTTAAAGAGGGATGAACTTTGAAATCATTACGCTAAGGAAAAGAAGCTAGTCACATATAAAAGGTCCAGACTAGGAAAATCCATAGAAACGGAAAGCAGATTGGCGGTCGCCTGGACGAGGGAAGCATGGGGGGTTCTTTTTGGGGTGATGAATATGCTATAAAATTAGACTGTGATGATGGTTGCATAACTCTGTGAATATACTAAAAAACTTAATTGTACACTTTTAAATGAGTGAATCGTATGGTATGTAAATTATATCTCAGTAAATCTGTTACCCTCCTCCCAAAAAAAATCAACTGTCAGAGATTCCATACTAACTGTGAGTTCAGTATTTAAAAATGCAAAGAATTCTCTCAGGAAAGCCTCTGCTACGAAGCAGCCACACTCCCAGCACAGAATCAAACCAGAGCCCACCAGACCAAGTCAGAGCCCACAGAGCAAGAGGGCGAACAGCAGATCAAAGGGAGCCAGACCTAAGGAAACCAGAGCATGGATTATTGTCTGGGCCAAAGAAGCTAGGTGTGCTCACCAGTTCTCTAGTAAGGAGCTAGAAGTGGATATAGAATCCCACTGTTGCCTATCATTGACCTATTTTGATTACAAGGAATAATGTATTTCTCAAGAACACATAAAAGGTTAAATAAACAAACTGGTTAAGGGCATTTAAAAAGGTTAACAAAAACACAAACCTTCCTAAATACCCCAATTGTTTTAAATAAAAGAGCAAAAAAAACACATCTTATAGAAAAAAACAGCAAATGTAACAAAATACATATAAATAAAATACTATGATAGAGTTGAGAGCAATTATATCAGTTCTAGCAATAAATGCGAATGGGCTTCACTCACCTACTATAAATAAAAAGTTCCAATTTGGATCATGAAACAAAACTCAAGGAGTTGTACAAAAGATGCATCTGAAATGAAGTGATTCTGAAAAGCTAAAAATAAAAAGGTGGCCAAATTACACCAGGCAGATGGCAAAAAAAGAGAGCAGGGGTGGTAATCCTGAGATACAGCAAAGCAGAAATCAAGCCCCAAAGCACTGATACAAAGAAAAACACTTTTTAATGCTAAAAGCCACAATCCACGATGAAGATAGAATAAAAATATACATATTCACATGAATATAACATAGCAACCACCTTTATGAAACAAAAACTACAAGAGATGCCAGGAGACATAGATAGAAACACACTAAACAGGATACTTTAATATGGCACTCTCGCTGGTATATTAGATTAGGTGAACCTAAAACAAGGAGATAGAAGATCTAAACAGCATAATCAATAAGGTAAATCTTAAGGACATTTATCAAACTTTACACTCTCATACTAGAGAATACATTCTTTTCAAGTGCCATCACATATTCACCAAAAATCATATATTAGGTCACAAAGAAAACATCAGTAACCTCCATAAACTAGAAATATTACGAACAATACTCTCTGATCATAATGCAATAAAACTAGAATTTACTAACGAAACAAACAAAAAAACACAGAAAGGCCCATCCACCTGGAAATTTTAAAGCCTCCTATTAAATTGTTCCTGGGATTCTACAACTAAAATTATAGATTTTTAGAGAAATGATGATAATGAAAGCACTACATATCAGATTCTATGGGATGCATTTAAAGCAGTGATCAAAGGAAAATTCATTGCACTAAATATGTTTACCAATAAAAATGAAAGAATAAAAATAAATCCATTTCCATGATAAAAAAGAAATAACCTAAAAAATAACAAGGTAAACCGAAGAGAAAGCACAAGGAAGGAAATAAAAACATAAAAGCAGAGGAAGAGAATGAAAAAACTAGACCTAAGTAATAATTTGAAATTCTGTAGTTTTTGAAAAAATTAAAATAAACCGCTATACAAATCAAGAAAAAAGGGAGAAAACACAAGTATACAAAATAAGAAATGGCAAGGGGGAAATAAACACTGAAATAGAAGAAAAAATTTTAAATCACAAGAGATTACTAATTTGAAAATCCCAATGAAAGGGATAATTTGCTAGAAAAATTACTAAAATTGACCCCATTAGAGTTAAAAAAGCTTAAACAGAACAATTTCAATAGAGGAAATGGAGAAAATTATTAAGGAAATAATTTCTCCCGTGAAAAAGCATCAGGTCCAGATGGTTTCACAGGAGAATTCTACCAAACCTTCGAACATTAGATAGCCTCAGTGCTCTAAATTATTCCAGAGCAGATATATCACACACAAAAAAATATCAAGCCTACAAGAACACCAACCTTTCGAAGAAAATGAACTAGCCAAAGAGACTAGAAGGTATATCCTCTGAGGAAGGCGGAAACTCTGGAGCATAGAATCTCAGCAACTAAACAAGGATGTTTCAAGAAAGGAGACTTTCATGGCAAAAAGCTGCATAGAGATCCACTAAAAGGAATGAAGAATGTGACCAAAAGGTAAGGAGACTTAGAAAGCCAATTATTAACTCCTTAACAGGCTAGCTGGAAGAGGACGAGAGAAACTGGGTTTCAGTTGAATAACAGGGGTCTAGGGAGGAGGATTCAAAATGGCAGCAACTTGAGTAGGTTTATTGTTGATAGGGAGGAACTATGTGCCTGGCACTGGGGGTCTATTGTAGAATGACAGTCATAGTAGAGATGCCTCTAGGTTCAATGTTTCCTTTGATTCCTTAATATTGACTCCAAATAATAGTCGATTTCTCCCAGTATTCTAAATTTACTTATTACTTTCTTCAATGACCCAAATTAAATTTTTATCAGCAGTCGCATTTTGTGATAATTTAGCAAACATTGCTGCCAGTGACTGCTAGAGGCAAGGCTTACAAAGTTGAAAGAGACCTAAGAGATGCTAAGTCTTCAGTGGATAAAAAGGATCACATGAGTGCCAGTACTTCCTGGTTCACTAAGTGTGTTAAAACTACTATCTCATTTAACCTTTGTAAGCCTTTGAAGAAGCTAGAATTACCTCCATTTCAAAGGTGAAGAAATCAAGCCTCAAAAAGGTTAACCAATCCGCTCCAGTGCAGGATCTGAAACTAGAATCCAGGTTCTCAGACTCCAATACTAACACTTCTCCACCTTGCAATTCTTACCTTCAGAAAGATGACCCTGTAGAGACCGCCTGGATCTTTGTATAGATGCTCAGTCAGCAGAACTGGACTTCAGCACACTTGAGAATAGTTGACATCCTGCATCACATTCAAAATTGCTGTCTAAATTTGGAAAGCAGTTTTTATGCCCTCTAGCTGCCTGGACATTCTGTAGCTTGTAGGACACAAAGACTATGTTTTATTTATTTTGATCCCAAGGATTATGTTTTATTTAGCTTTGTATCTGTCTCCCTCAACTTTATATATAGTGCCTTTAAATATTTTCTCCTTCAACACTGGTATAGCTTCATTCATTCACCTAACTCCATAATTCTGATATCATTTTTAATTTAATCTAGGGCAGCAATATAAAACTTCAGATTTAAGGACTGAAAGAGTACAGAGGCAAAGGGTATCACAGAATAGCTTTTTGAATTTAGCTATTAGTTTTAAAAAGTCAAGATATTTTTGTGCTCTGAAATTTTTATGAGATGGCAATAGTTTACAAGATAAAGTATGCTTAAATGTACTTTTCCATAAATGTCTCATTTGATCCTTAAAATCACCCTGTAAGAAAGGTAAGGCAAAATGTTCTATAATCTCTAATTCAGAGTTGAGGAAATAGTCCCTTAGAGAGGATAAGTGAGTTACTTGTTCAAAGTAATCAGATACAAAGGAATTCAAGGAAGTCCTGACTTCAAATCTCCTACTTAATCTATGATGCCTTTGCCTCACCTAGATAATCTTTCTTTACTAAACTGGTAAAGGTAGAATAAAAGATGAAAACTAAGATGCTCTCAACAAATAAGAAACAAAAAAGGATAGCTAGAAAAAAAATTCCTGTACGTCATTGGAAAGAAGAACATAAATGCCCAAAAGTCTTTCTATAGAAATCCTCTAAATGTTGCCTTTTGCTACAGATTGTTGGTGGGAATGCAAAATAGCATCTTTTCCAAAGGAAAATTGAGTAATTCACATAAAAAAAAAATTCCAAATCGTCTGGGAATGTACATTAAGTAATTATGATAAAGATTTTACATTTCTTCAAAGATGTGTTTAAGTTGTGAAAAACTGGGAATAACTAACTAAATAAATTATTACAGCCATATAATGGCATTGCTCTGTAGTCAGAAAAAAAAAAATGGTTACCAAAGAGAATTCACTTAAGAAAAAAATTCACGTATTTGTCTCTGCATAGAAAAAGACTAAAGATGTATACCCAGCGCGACCATATTCACAATGGTTACTAGAAATGGTGAAATAGTGTGCCTTTTTTAATTATTTTTTTTAGTATTTTAGAAATGCTGTGTGAGTATTACTGTTTCTATATATAAACGTTTCTAATAGACGTTTTAAAGACCTCTGGGGTTGTGAAGCAGCAAGGCTTTCAAAAAAACGTTTTAGTAGCCATTTTTAAAATACCATTAAAAAGTAAAGCATTACTATACCATTACTATTAAAATAGCATTGAATTATAATGTTGTACACACGCAACTTATATGTTCCCAACCGATGTTACCTCAATTAAAAAAAAAAAATACCGTTGGAAAATAAAGCATGAATACACACCAAAACCTCTTTTCAAATTCTAGTCTTTATTTGTAGCAGTTCGCATTCAGAAAAAAAGCTAAAAAAGAAATCAAGAGACCTTCTTGATTTCTACCTGTAGTTTTTACTTTGTTCCCGAAAAGAAAAAGCATCACCGAAGGGGCAGCTCGAAAAGCACATGGGCCGGAAAATATTTGGGAGGATAAGTTTCTCTCCCATTTCTTTCCCTCCCGACCGACCGATAGTACAATCCAGTGACTGGCCCAGTTTCCTAATGCATCCTGGTGAAGCACAAGAGATGCGCCAATTTTCGGTATACGTTTCTAAAAAGACAAGTTTTACTTCCCAATGCAGGATAAAGAGCAGCCTTCACTACTCATTCTGGATGTTACCAGAAGATGCCGCGGTGCAGCGGGAGCGCCTCTGGAGAAGGACAAAGCAGGGGCTCTTCGGCTCGGGTCCCGCAGGCAACGCGGCCCGGGCCGCATCAGAGACAAGGGCACCGTCCCCGGACACCACTTTCCCCGTCCCCAAGGCAGACGTTCCCAACCCCTGGGGACCCAGCCCGCCCGACGACGCAGGAGGATCGCGGCTGCGGCAGCAGGTGCCGGAGTCACCGTGCATGAGATGGAACCATCCCAGTGACCTGAGGCAGTGGCAGGGGAACGAATGGTCGCCCGAGAGAGGGCACTAGCCCAGCGGCCTGAGGCAGGGGAGCGGTCGCTCAGGATTCCAAACTGGGCCCCCCGCATGCTCCCTGCCACCCCCACCCGCCACCCCAAGGGCTGCCACTCCCGGGCACCGGACACTCCCTCCCCGCGGGCTCGAGCCTCCCTACCCAGCTCGCCTGCAGAGCTACTCACCCGACCGGGAGGTCCCCGCAACTGCCACCGCCGTCGCCGCCAGCCCCTAAAGCCTCGCTCCTGCAAAGACTGTTGCCTCCCGACGAATCCACAGCTACCTCTGCCGGGCTGCAGGACCCGGAACCACTTCCTTCCGGAACCGCCTCGCTCCGCCCTATCCCCGCCTACTGCCGCGGCCACGCGCTGAGTTAGCTCTGCAGATTCCTGCTCTCAACGATTTCCCAGCCTGGATGCCCTGCCTGGGCTGCTCTGGTCAGAGCGCCTGCGCCCTCTGCTGACCGTTCCCACCAGTGCCGCTCTGTCTAGAGCGCGTGCGCTGTCTGCCGCTGGGAAGAAAGGACTGCATTGGGCATTCCAGGTCCTGGGATCCTAGGAGTTGAGGTTCGAAGGCTGGAGCTTACCCCTTAGTCAGGGGCAGAAGCTTGGTTCCGTGGGCCTTCCAGCCCCTGGCTTGGCCCTCAAAGCCCTTCCAAATCCAGCCCACCTGAACCTGTGCCACTGTGGCCTCTCTCCCTGCCTACTCGATTTCTAACCGTTCCCCATGGGCCTCATATTAAGCTTCTACCCGGAAAACAAAACCTCCCTTCTGGACCTTCCAAATAGGTTAATGACACTAACATCTCTCCACTATCCAATTCAAAATATTGACTCATTTGTCTGCTCTCTTGATTTCTCTCCTCCCAAACTCCATTAGCCCCCAAAGTAGTATGTCCTCCTTGGAGCTTTCTCACTTGACAATTTGATATTCTTTTTACTCCTTGCAAGGTTTCTCTTTCTGAGTCCATCCCATCTAGTAGTACCACATTTTACCCTCCCTGTCACTATCATCTACTGACTGCAGTAGTTTCTTTCTCCTTCCAAATTACTGCCATCATCCTGATGAATCCAACACCCGTGAGTAAGGTGTGTTTCCTTAACTTCCTCAACCCAGATGACTTACCTCTACTCTACTTGCTCCACGCATTCCCAGGCACATATTCTAGAAAATCTAAACATTCATCACTTCGTGCTGTTCCACCTCTAAAATCTTGAGTTTACAAATCCCATTTATTTGTACTCACAATCCTCATCCTTGCAGTCCTATCTCTCCTTCAGTCCCAATTACTTTTTTTAAAAAACGCCTACAGCACCTGGTCTTCCTAGGTGGTCTCCCATCCAAGTACTAACCAGGCCCCACTCTGGTTAGCTTCTGAGATCAGAGGAGATCAGGCACATTCAGGGTGGCATGGCTGTAGACAGCCTCAATATACTTATTCTTCAAAGACCCCAGACCTTTCACATCCCCTGAACTGTCTACCTGACATAAGCCCATGGCCTTTGACGTCAACCACTCTTGTGAGCAGAGTCTGTTGAATTGCCCTTTGACACATTCTAACATCAAACAACCATTTTAAAACACTCCAGTTATCTGCATTTTCAATTCCTACATATTGCCAAGCACTATCCCTGAGGAAAAAGCCACGCAACTATAATGAAAGCCATGACAAATTTATGGACACCCGTCACAGTAGAGAGCCTTGGTGCCTCTTAGGAATCCTTTTATGTGACCTCTCCCATTTTCAATAATTGCTATTACTTTTACCACCCTCTTTAAGCCCCATACCCATGATCATTTTCCTCTCTTCATACATGGTTTCACTATTTTGCAGAGAAAATTCCTCACCATAATATATAAAGCCTTTTATTATCTGGTTCATACTTACCTCTCTAGCCTCTCTCCTCCTTTTACTCAGTGCTCTGGCTATACCGAAATGTTTGCACTTTAAAAAGAATATTGCTTTGGTTTCCATTTGGTTGCACATATTGTCCTTTCTGTCTCGTTAGGAGGTATGAGACCTTCTTTCTGCATATATGTGGCTTCAGTTCAAGATTTTCTTCCATTCTTCCTTCAAGAATTGTTTCTGCTCCATTTGTTCTGGTCTCTCTTTTAAGAAGAGCAATTGTCTGTGGTAGTTCTCTGTTTTATCATTTTCATCTTTTTATCCTTTGTTGTTGTTGTTGTTGTTGTTGTTGTTGTTGTTGTTGTTTTTGGCATTCTGGTAGATCTCAACTTTTCTTTCAATATTACTGATAAGGTTTCCCAAAGCATTATTTCTGCCTCTGTTTTTACTTAAATTCTATTATTGAAATTTTTGTTTCCTTGTATCAATCCCCCACCCCCCTGCCTCTGGCTTTCAATTCATCCTATTGACTTTCCATCTCATCCTTTCATTTCCATATGAATTTCTGTTCTGATTTTATGGAAGGATTTCCTTCTTGCAAAAGAATGCTAAACAGGTTATAAAATTTTTATTTTGGATTTTGTAGTCAATCACTTTCATAAATACCCTGTTCTTTCTCTTCCATGATTGGTTTTTGTGCACTCTATTACACACACACACACACACACACACACACACACACATATACATTTTAGACTCATCTTTGAACAGGTAATCTTTATTCAGACTTATTATTGGTTAGCAGACAGCACAAGTGGATGGCCCTCGACCTATTTGCTGTCTACTTGTGTGGACAGAAAGGTTAAGTAGTTTGCAAAAGGTCATGTGGGAGGACACATTTTCCTCTACCCTGCTAAGTTCTTTCATCTGGTCTAGTAATCAAATCAAACTGACGTGAGACAGATTACAAGAGAAAATAACCAAATTTAATTACACACATGCATGTGGGAACCCCACATACATGAGAGTCAGAGACAGAAAGGGGAAAATGAAGTATATACGGCATTCTGAGCTAAGAATGAGGTAAGATGCCTTGGAGCTTCCGAGGAAAGTTCATTCACAGGATAAGAAGAGCAGATTTTCACCCTGCTCTATAGATAAGTCCAAAAAAAGTTATTTCTTGTAATAATTCATATTATGGGCAAGGCCTCAAATTTAAATTCTTGAAGGGAGAGGTCAAAGTTTCTTGTGAGCCCGAAGGGTCTCGATTGCCTTCAGCATAAAATAATTCATGTGCCAAAGTGGCACATGTTGGAGAGGCCTGTTCTGAACCCCTTAAGTCACATGGCTCTTGGTGTGCATATGAATAGCATACACACACATACACAGAACAAGCCTAAGAGAAATG